GTGAATTCTAATCCTGGCTGTGTCCCCGGACTTGCAGTATGGCCTTAGGCAAGTCACCGGAGGCTTGATTCTACCACCTGTGACTGCTAAAAGATGCTGAATGCTGTCTGTTATCCGACAAGGGCATAAAGCATCACAGAAAAAGGTCAGCTTCTTCCAGCACTGATCAAGCGACTGGTAGTAAAGGAAAAACAATATTGTCCCAAAAGCTTGTCTACCTGCTCCCACTATACCCCTATTGAACTTCTACCTAGCACATTCCCAGGCTCCCTCCTGCCCCCAGCCAGGCTTCCTGCTATAGTTTTTAAGGAGCAGTATGCACAGATTCCCAGTATCCCCAGTGAAATCAGTAGCTGTTAATGACTCTCATCAGATTAGACTTCAGAACAATAGGCTCCCTAATTCACAATGACCTGATTATTCTAAGTACAACGAACCCCTGCCACTATGAAAAAGAAGATCTGGTTTTGATTGAACATTGATACATCAAAGCATCGCCCTCTCCCTCCCCATCTGACCATGTCCTGAAAAATGTATCTTACCTTCTGCACAGAAACTTCAACAATCCTCCAGTGAAGATAGTGGACAGAAACAAAACTAGTATGAGCATTTGCCAGGTGTTCATTTTATTATTTTTATAGTCTTAAAAAAAGAGTGAAAGTTAGTTTTAGTAAAGTGAAGGAATAGAGAAGGAAGGAATATATAATTGTTAAATGGTAATCATTTCATGAGGTGTACAGCTAGTTCGGAATAGGAAGCCTAATCCGAGCTAGCTAGTCCGTGGTGCGTGTAGCTGTGCGGCACGGGGTCCGAACTAGTCGGCATTTAAAAATGGCGCTGGCCAGCATCATGCAAATGAAGCCCGGGAAATTCAAATCCCGGGCTTCATTTGCAACTCCGAATGACTACATTACCCCCCTAGTTTGAACTATGTCTATAGTGTAGACATACCCTGACTAATTTTGAGCCTTTCTATTTGAGACGTTCTATTTCGAAATAAGCTATTTCAGAGTATTTCTTACAGAATAGCTTGTTATGAAATAAGTGTGCCGTGTAGTGTACCCTAAGCGTGCATTTATACAGCATCCTAAACTCAAAATAAGATACACAATTGGAGCTGCTCTGCACCAAATTTCAAAATAATGTGCTATTTTGAGCCATCCCTTAACCCTCATGCAACGAGGTTTACCAAGATGGTGAAATAGCGTGCTTGTTATTTTGAAAAATGTTTTGAAATAATGGGCGGCTTGTGTAGATGCTGAGTAGCTATTTGGGATTCTTCTGGTATCCCAAAATAACCATGCAATGTAGACGTGCCCTAAGATATCTCCATGCTGTGGGCTGGAGGAAAGGAGTCATACCAGGGATGGTCCTAGCCTGTGCTAACCCCAGTTAAAGCTTTCTCTCTTGGGACAATTAGCAGTCAGGCAAGGGAACATCCTGGCCCACACTGGCCTCAGGACTAGGGGAGTGTTAGATCTCGGGGCAAGGACTGTCTCTCTGTCCTTTGTTTGTACAGTATCCAGTGCACAGTGATCCTAGTCCGTGAGTAGGGCTCTTAGGCACTTCACTCCATCTTTGTACCCCTTCTCCTGATCTATGTGTAGTTTGGCAGGCCCTCAAGACATGGTCCTCTATTGCTATTTATTATGGCATTGCCTTTTCGCACGTAAGGCTCTTCCCTTTTTATTATGAATCACTAACAGACTTACCGTTGCCTGTGTCTATCCTGGGAGGAAGAGAACGAAGGGACCGTGCAGATCCTGGGAGGGGTTTTTGGCAGGGAGGACACTTACCAGTGTCAGGCAAGATGGAGGAGCCTCATCCCCAGTTGCTGCTCTTTTGGTGGTGCGACTATCCCCATTGGTTACTCTGCAGGATAGCTCTCCCCTGCACTCACTGCCCTCAGTGCTGAGTGTGAATCTCTTTCTCCCCTCTTCCTTTCCATGTTATGAAAAGCAATCAAATTCTAGGTACATCCCCTATTCCTGGCACGACCAACCCCTGATCTTGCTTTAAGTTAGGAGAAGAGGAAGTTGCAAACCAAATTTCGTGGCCCTAGCTCTCACCGTTTAGGAGGAGTTCTTCAACACATGGATTCACAGACAGACACACCGACAGACACTCTCAGGGTATGTCTACACTACCCTCCTAGTTCGAACTAGCAGGGTAATGTAGGCATACCGCACTTGCAAATGAAGCCCGGGATTTGAATTTCCCGGGCTTCATTTGCATAAGCGGGGCGCCGCCATTTTTAAATCCCCGCTCGTTCGAACC